AGGCAGGGAGAACAATGGAGCCAGGCTGCAGGATGCCACTGCTCCGCAGGCAGCACGCCGCTGGTGTGAGCGCTTCTCCAGGCAGCAGGATCTCCAGCAGCTATTTCACTAATGAAGCGTGAGCTTGGGAAAGGGATGGGATAGAACAGAGCTGCCACTCGCCTGTCTGGGGTCCACATCTGCTCCTGCCTGCAGTGCCACGGCTGGATGTGCTCCCCAGGGACCCGAGCCTGCCCAGAGGGGATGGATGACCTCCAGCCCAAAGCTGGCTCAGCCATGGGAGGGAGCATCATACCTCAGACCTGCTGGGTGCCTTTGCCTCCCTGCTCTGCTTTGCTGAACCTGGCCTCCACGAAATTATCCCAGGGCACTCCCCATTCCTTTGAGGACAATACCTTCCCCTCTAAAGGGACAGTTGAGCTCCACTCAAAGCCCATGGGGCTGCAGTAGGTGTGTGCACAGACAACCCACAGAAGTCAGAGTCCCTGCAGAGGGTATCTGAGTACGTAAGTGGATATTTGGCTTGCAGGAGATGATAAAAAGTAAAGGGCTGGTGGCTTACTTGTGATTTGCACCCTCTTCCTTGGCTCTTGGTCCATCCAATGGGCATTTGCCTCACCATTAGTCTGATGAGCTGCTGCCCCATGCCCAGTCTTTGGCCCTGCAGTGCTGCCCAGAGGGGTGGGAGACCAAAGCCAACCCTAAACAAGCTACAACACAACCCAGAGCTGAAAACAGGCACTGGGGTGATTCACTGAGCCCCCAACCCTGAGAGCTTCCCTCTCCATCAGCAGCAGAGCCCCCTGCCACCCCAGGCTGTGTCCCATCTCTCCTGAGGGCACAGCAGCCCCTCATCACAAGGCAGTGGCCGGGTGCCAGCCCTCAGCACAAGGGAACGGGTCCTTCCCGGTGGGGCTGGGGGAATGATTGAAATGCAGGTTCTCACCCCTCTCACCCTGGGGTAAGTGCTTATGAGCAGCCAGGCCACTTAAACAAGCTCTTCAGCTGCTCCATTACATGAGCCCTGTCATCACCATCCCAAGTGTGAGGTGCATGTGAGAGGCTGCAAGAGGCTGTTTTCGGGCTTCTGGGGGTGCTTATCTCAGAGCAGGGTGAAACCTCCAGTCCCAGGCTGTGCCTGATTTCCTCTGGGGAGGCGCTTCTGCCCTTGGCCGCAGTATTATCCAGTGGTAAAGTGGGGAATAAAACCCTCTGGGATCACGGATAGTACGGAATGAACTTGTGGATTGCATCCTGCCTCTGTTAGCCAGCCCTGCGCGCTAGCTGGGGTGTGTTAGCTGCACAGCCTGGCTCCGAGGCAGGCAGGAGGAGCTTGCCACCCTCCAGCACCTCATTCTCATTCCTAACCGAAAGGAATTTCATGCCCTGTGCAGCCGGTAATCCAATGCTGCGCTTGGCCTCCCGGGAGACCCCATCAGCACTTGTGATGTGTCCTGGGAAGTCAAAGGCTGCGTCCAGTGGTAGAAGAAAAGAGCTGATGTTTGTAGCACTGCTTTCCCCTGCCCATCCCGCAGTGCCCAGCACGCCAAGTGTGGGACAAATAGGAATTCTAGGGAAGAAGAGGACACCAGCCTTGCAAACCAGCTTAGGGAAGCAGACAAGAAAAATCCTGCAGCTGGTTCAAAGTAAAATGTACAGACTAAAAGGGACTTAAGCAAGATGCTGGTCTGACTGCATCGACTGTTTGCAACTACCTGTAAAAGTTAGAGCAGAGGGCAAGCCAGGCTGGGACCTGGGAGTCTTCCTGGTGTAAGAGATACAACCACATGTCTCTACAGGCCAGCTATTCCTGATGCTAATGCAGGTTTTTGGGGGTGGTGAGCTGATTAATGTGTGCAGACAGAAGGCACAGGACTAAGCAGACCGGTACGAGAGCCTAAGTTCCAGTGGGACCTCTGATGGCCATCGTGGCGTGAGCTGCAGATGCTCCAAGGGATGATGCTCTGTTTTGCACAGCTCTGCCAGGCCTTCGGTTTAACCTTGACTCAGACAAAGGGCAACACTCAGGGAGTCACTGAATCCTTCAGTGTGGAGTTTGACTCTGTTGAACCCCCACGTTAGCTGTGGGGAGCTAGTCCATGTGGGCTGGCACCTATGTGGTGGAGGTGGTTGAGACCACAGTGTGGCTGTTGACTCTCCTGCTCATCTCAAGGTGGTGGGAGCACCTTTTTGCTCCAGATCACCAAGTTTTGTACAGTAAGTGCCTGCTTAGACAAGCAGACAAGAGCTGCCTTTCCTGTATCACTTCCTGCTCTCTGATACTGAACATCCTGATCACCTCTGCATCCTCATCTTGCCAGAAAGAACCCATACCTTGACCCCACTCAGACTAACGAACCAGTGTCCCCTGCTGAGCCTCCTGAAGAAAGCAGGTTTCATAATAGCTTTGTTTAGGGTGACAGTGAGGTTTTACCATCCCCCTTAGCTCAAGGACAAGAAGCACCAGCCTACATAAAGGCGCTGACACTTGTGTCAGACATGGATGTACCTCCCCATCCTTTCCCTGCTGGAGAGGCTGTGTCAGGGCTCTGTGCAGGGCTTGTCTGCCTGCATGTTGTGAGACCTCACTTGGAGTATTGTGTCCAGTTCTGGTGTCCTCAACATAAAAAGGACATGGAGCTGTTGGAGCAAGTCCAGAGGAGGCCATGAGGATAATCAGGGGCTGGAGCACCTCCCGTATGAAGACAGGCTGAGAAAGTTGGGGCTGTTCAGCCTGGAGAAGAGAAGCTGTGTGGAGATCTCAGAGCAGCCTTCCAATACCTGAAGGGAGCTACAAGGATGCTGAGGAGGGACTCTTCATTAGGGACTCTAGTGGTAGGACAAGGGGTGATGGGTTTAAACTTAAACAGGGGAAGTTTAGGTTAGATCTAAGGAAGAAGTTCTTCACAATGAGGGTGCTGAGGCACTGGAATAGGTTGCCCAAGGAAGTTGTGAATGCTCCATCCCCGGCAGTGTTCAAGGCCAGGTTGGACAGAGCCTTGGGCGACATAGTTTAGTGCGAGGTGTCCCTGGCTCATGGCAGGGGGGTTGGAACTAGATGATCTTAAAGTCCTTTCCAACCCAAACCATTCTATGATTCTATGTTGTGATGGGATTGCAGAGCTCAGTGGGGACAAACAGTACTCATGGCTCTATTCTCCCCTCCTTTGCCCAGCCTCAGCCCATTCCCCATTACCTGTACACGAGCCTCGGTGAGGTCTGTCCTCATGGCTAGCTGCTCCCTGGCATAGACGAAATGGAAGACCTTCTCCAGCTCCTCTAGCTGGTAGCTGGTGAAGGTGGTGCGGTTCCTCCGCTTCTTGCCCTTGTTGCTCTCCGAGTCAGCCTTGTCCATGGGGCTGGGCAGGTCCGTGCTGGCCCTGTCCTGGGGCACTTTCACCCCGGCCTCCTTCACGCTGAGGTAGCTGCTGTCCATTCCCGAAGGATCGGAGCTCGGCTGTAGGTCGGCTTCTCCCAAATTGCTCTCCTTACCTATTCGGGTTTGGGACCATGGGGAAGGGAAAGGAGGGCAGGTTTGAGCAGGGTGGGGAAGGGGAAAAGAGAAAAGGAAACAGGTGTAAATCAACCCATTAGGTAGTTCAACCCATTAAAGCTATGTCCATGGCAGTGGAGCAGGTAGAGAGGATGCAGGTAGAGAGGATGCAGGTAGAGAGGATGACACCACCATGGGCAGAGGCAGAAGAGGGAGGTGAGGCAGAAGAGGGAGGTGAGGCAGAAGGCTCTCTTGGGTGCAGGGAAGCTGCTGGCATCAGCCTCTGAGGGTGCTCATTGCTGTTTACACACCTTCACCCTCCCACTGCCCACAGTGGGACTGAACCCCATGGAACACTGCATCCCATGGTCCTGGCCACAGAGGAGGTACCCAAACCCAGGCCTCAGAGCATGGTCCCCAGCCCATCTGTGCTCCCCTACTGAATAACACATAAGAGAAGCCCAGGGGCACAGAGCAGCCACGCTTGGTGCTTGGTGGGATCTGTTTCTGCTCATGCATCCCCATGCAATGGTGGTGTGTCAGCAGAGGTGTTCCTGACACCCACAGTCACCCCACAGCCTGCTGTGAGGGCTTGAACTTGTTCCAGCAAAGAGGCTGTGAATGGCACTTAGTGCCACAGAAAAAGCTGGTGTGAGACGCCTGCAGAAACACAGCAGCAGAGAGAAACGAGTCTGAGAGCAGCCTGGAGGCTGTTCCTGCCCAACTGCCCTGGGCAATTAACAATCAATAGGCCATGACATACAAGACCAATGGGGCAAAGCAGGAGGAGGACATTTCAACCCCTGCTGTGAGCTGATTCCTCTCTAAAGCTTGGCAGATACAAGTAAAACCACCTTTGAACCTCTGTAATGGGGCATTATGCATCCTCAGGCACAAAGGTGCTGTTATGGGGCATCCTCTCCTGCCCACCTCCTGCATCCAGTGACAGTGGTGTCCACTTCTTTAGCAAGAGTGCTGCCACACACATGGCAATGTCCTTGCTTACTGCTGCTGCTCAGCACTGTCCCCAGACCACAAAAAGAGGGATTTGAGAGGACAACTGGTCCACCCAGCATGTGCTGCACAGCCCAGTGCCATACCTGCCCACATGGACCAAAACCAGGGTGGCCTGGCTGCAGGGTTTGATCTTGAGTCACAACCCTGAGCTCCTTAAGATCCAGGAAAGAAAGGGTGCAGTGGTACTTCCTATCCGTGCTCCCCTTCCCAAGCCAAGATCATGCCAAGTGGTTAACCTTTTCATTCCATTTCACATTAGCCTATTTTTAAATGTTCTCAGTCCAGGATCAGTCTTTCTGGGAAGTGGCTCCACCATCTAGTGATGTTCCCACTGGGAGCTTTCTCCCAGCAGTGTCATTAACGCTGGTTCAGGCATCTTGGCCTATGTCTTTGGAAATCCCCATTTTTTCCATCAGTCATCCCTTGTTACAACATCCTTCCACCTAATTCCATGTATATTTACAGCTTGGCCCTTCTGTGACCAGCTCTGTCATGGCTTCACAGCCAAAAACTAGGAGTGGGCTTGTGAAAAGGTGCATGTATCCTCCTTTTCTCACTCACAGCTGATAGAGTGATTGGGGTGAAAACAGGAGGATGAGATGTAGCTGTCACCCACAGGCATGAGGGCAAACGGAGGGCCCAGGTTTAAGCTTGGGATGATGAGCTGTGAAAGGGATTTGAGATAAAAATGCCCTGTTATTACAGAGGAGCCAAAGGCAGATGTGGGCTGAAGGCACCAGAGGTGCAGGAGCTATCATCTGCCACTGCCACCCCACTGTGCTTTCAGATTTATTGCTTTCCCTAATACTCTTCCCTCAAGCTTTTGAAGAGCTCCCTGTAAATCTCAGCAGAACCTGATGTAGATTTCCACTCTCTGCTTTGATCCTTAGGAACATTTAGCCAAGCTTTATGCTCCCTGATGACGGGACCGGTGTCCAGGCCAGTGACTACCACTCTGCCTCCTCTTGGCACCTTTGCTTTCCAACCAGCCAATCTCCTCCATCGCTCCTGGGGGGATGCAGGTGGACAGGCCCATCCAAAACAGGCTGGGACCATGCCATGTGCCACAACCTGGCCAAATCATATGTTATGGCCATGATATTTATACTTTTCAAACCTAAGGATAATAAAACAGCTCCAAAAGCCTGCAGCGATGGACTACTGCCTACGGGAGTCAATAGAGATGGAGTAATAAATGAAAGTATTCCAGGATTTTTCCCCCCTTTTTTCTTCCTTTTTTTTTCCATTATTTATGGTGTCAGGAAGCTCAGCACATTCTCCCCCTGCCTTTGTGCTGCTGTCTCCCTAACTCCCAGCTCCCCTGCAATCCAACCAGCAGCAAACACAAGACCTGAGGCCTTTCCTTGGGAACTCCTCTGCTGTTTCCTATCTACTCAAGCAGCTCAAGTAGCTGGAGGAGGGTCTGCAGAAACACACACGCAGAAAAGCTCTGGGTCTGATTTAATTTCATCGACTGCACAGCTCAAACTGCAGCTGGGAGCTGGGCCCAGGGCTTTCAGCAGTGATGGTTATCGCTGTCACGAGCCATCAACCCAAAGCAGCAAGCGACCACCCATCCCTTCCACCAGCTCAGAGTCCTCCTTTCCACTCACCCATAGAGCAGATATGGGCTTCTTCACCTCCAGCTGCTATGGGCACTAACAGGGATGAGCTGTCTCTGGAGGGCAGGAGGCAGGGAGCGTGGATGTCGGCATAGGGAGGGGATGGCGTGCATCCACCCTTGGCTGAGCATCCCAAGATGTAACTCATTCCCTAGTAAAAGGCTGCCTGACCTCAAACCAGTCATGCTAACTGCAGAAGTGAAACAAATTGCATACATCTGCATATGGATATGCCCAGACTTCCTGTAACTGGAGATGGCCTCAAAGTTTCAGTGCAAAGTTTGGGGTGTCTGTTTCTAATCAAACCTAAAGAGACCTTGAGTTACATATTGTGAAGATCTCCATGACAAGGAGGTAACGTGAGCATCACTGCACCCTTACAAGCCCGACAGGACCACTTGGTACCTTCTTCATTGCTTACAACTCTGCCCTTGCTCTATGGCAGTATGAAATACAATGCAGAGAGAAGTAAGTTTGGTGCATCCACATAGCAATAGAGAGCAGGACATGTCAAATACACAACGTTGGGCCCAGTGTGAAACGTTAGGTCTCCTTTACAGACCATATACAAGCCACAGTGATAGACTCCTACACATAGGTCCTGTGACCCTACAAGGCTGCAAGACAGCTACACGGCCAGCAAAACCCAGGGACACAACCAGCACAGGCTGTTTCCTCCAAAGAAGCCTGCAGGATCTTGGCATTGCCGATGTTCTGCTCTGGTAGCATCTTGTCCAAGCTATTAAGGTCTCCCCACACCATCCCAGCCCTGGGGGGCTCTGAGCATAGCCTGGCACTCCAGTATGTGGTAGCTCACAGAGGCTTCCCACTGGTGCCTGATGCACATCCAAAGCACATGGCATGGCAGCATGTGGCTGCACCAGGCTGCCTTTCTGCTCCCACACTGAATAACATAGGGAGCTTCTGCCTTCCTGCCCAGCGGGTTTATCTCTTGCCCATCTCCAGATCCCTATGGCCTCCTACACTGGCCATTTCATGGTGCCTCTCCCTGCCATGCTCTGCCTCTTACTTTTCACAGCAACAATGCTTTAAAAAGCAAAACCCCCAACAAATCTCTAGTGCAGATGTTTAAAAAGACTTTAAACCCCCAGTTCTGGCTCTTAATGTCATTCGTTCAACTCTTGTTTAAATACCAGTGCTAAAATGTTGCCTAGGTAGGGTTTGGGCAGTGTATGCTACAAGGCAGATTTACACCACAGCCCAGCCAGCTCACCTCCAGCGCTTGGCTGGCTGTAGTAACCTTACCCAGTCCCTGTGATCTTGCCTTAACACATGCTGAAGCCATTATACTTGTTCCCAAGTTGTCTGTTGCAGCCTTCTGCCTCCTGTCTGTCACTGCAGTTTAGAAGTCAGCACAAGGCTGTCATTTAAAACAATAGCCACATTTTGGGATACACAGGATAAAACGGAGCAACCGGATTTGAGGTATATAAAGGGCCAAATCTTTAGGTTTATTTCTGTTCAGATAGTGAGTGTTATTGCAGCCTGCAGATGTAGAGAAGAATTTAAAGACAGAGAGAAGACCTACTTGTTTTAGCTGAATATGGCATCCCTGATTTTATTAGCAGTGGTCAGATACTTAACCATAGTTTCACTATTGGGCCCAACTGGTAAAACTGGGCATCATTCGTCTCTTAAATGCAGGTGGAAGAAGTCTACATAAGACAAAAGCCATTAGTATAGTTCTGGAAGCTGCATTTGTTTGCTGTTGTGCAGAAACTGCCTGGAGCATCTCCATTTCCAGTCTGGATAAGGATGAACACTTCATCTTGTGTCGAGCGTACCCGTGGCTCCCTTCAGTTGCATAAAGCAGAGCATAAAGAAAGCACATCTGTACATCTAACCCAGCCAGGGAGCTCATTTGGCTGATCCTACAGATCCTGAGGGAAGGCTGGAACATGGTCAGGGCAGCTCCTTTCCATGGCGCAGCAAGCACTGACTTTCCATTGTGCAGAGGAGAGACCACTCCATGAATGTCCTCACCTCCATGGACACCATCCATCTCTGCTGAGCCTGCCCAAAGCTGCTGGTGCTGCTAAAATATCCATGAAAATAACCATAGCCGTGAAATACCTGGTCATCTTGGGGAGTTAACGACAGGCAGAGCAAATTCCTACAGAAAAGGCTGATTTTAGAAGGATGAAATTGGGGAGAGGAGCATTTCTTTCTACCATGCTCCTCCTGACCATACCTAAGGCTCCTCTCTTCAAGAAAAGACTTGTTTTCCTAAGTAGACCATACAGCAGCAAGACCATACAGCAGAGTAGACCGAGTAGACCGTACAGCAGCAAGACCATACAGCAGAGTAGACCATACAGAGCGATGCTAAGGCCTGAAAA